AAAAAAAAAGAACTTACAAACAGCCCTGCCTTGAAGGGAATGGGGCAACAAAGATCTTTAGTTTTTAATCTCTATTGAAAACTTTTACCACAGTGGGTATCACAGTTAAATTACCCTAAAAATGTATTTATCCAAAGCTTATTGCTGAGAAATATAAGAAATGAAAATCAAACACTGAAAACATGCTAACATGATAGAAGACACTATCAACCCTGAAAGAAATACAAAAGTTCTTACTGGGTGACCTAAGGAAAACAACCTGGGTTCTAAGGTTCTGTTGGAGACCCTCAGTACCTTGAAGAGACGCAATAAACTCATACACCTCCTCTACACTCCAACGGCTGGGATTACTGGACAGGAACACAGGGTTGATGCCGTGCAATTCCGGTGTAGGTGGAGCCATATTGGGATTACCCAGGTCACGGTCTCCATGCCCAGCTCTTACTGATAAAGGCCCAGGAGATGTTGGAGAGAGTGCTTCATCATAACTGGAATTATCTGAACCCCGGCTAGAGTCCTCTTGACCCTACAGAGAAAACAGCAAACTGGTGAGGTCAGAATAACAGTCAAAAAGCTCCTTTCTCCATCCCAGCCCAACCACCCTGGGCTTGGCACAAGAAAACACATCACAAGTGAAATGATCTGCACTTCCTTTGCAAATGCCCAAAGTCTACTCTCAAGTATCTTTCAAGTATAAACTGTTATCACTTCCTTTATTCTCTTGTCCTAATAATTGATCTAGATTTTCACTACTCAAATATAGTGTAAGGAATAAGAGATACATGAACCAGAAGTAAGGGTAAGAAAATAAAGGAGGTCAGGATCTCTTGCAATTTGTAGTAATCAACGTAAAAACCAGTGTTTTGGGCCTCTGAAGAAGTAAAACACACCTCTATAGGCTTTTACCTGAGCAAAGGAATATGGCCTATAGGGGAAGAAAAAAGTCCATTTTAAAGGCAGTGGATTCTGCAACAGCAGCTCACCCGGTGGCGTTTGCCCTGAATCTTAGCACGGGCAATGTCAGAGGAGCTGCGGCGGGGTCCACGCCTGCGAACACGAGCATAGTTGGCTTCTTGAAACTCTTTCATTTTTTTCCTCTTCAGCCGGAACTGATGGCTACAACTCACATTGTACCTACAGGACAGGCCATGTACAGGATGTCAAAGGTACTATAGAAGACCATGTGGATTTGATATTTTAAGAGCTGATGTGGACAAGGGAATGAAAGCAAAGGGGGAGACAAAATACCAGCTGTGAGATTATTCTGGGGGAGGGATATATCATTACATAGAGATATCAGTGTTGAGGGCAAGAATGAAGGTGCCTAGAGTACCTCTTAGCACAAGTCATGGAGCAGAACCTCTTGGAACCACGAAACTGCTCTGCAGGGGCATACTTCCCACAGTACTCGCACTTGAGGAGATTCGCCTTCTTCTCTAACTCTGAAAAATAAGGCATCACTGGCAGTCACCGTGAGTTTCTGCTATCTCCTCTGGTAGCTAGATTCTAATTATTCTCAGGGTCTGCTGCCAAAGACTTACACAATTGGAGAATCCCTTAAAAAGTCCAAAATCCAAGGCCAGGCATGGTGGCTCATGCCTGTAATCCTAGCACCCTCGGAGAGACTAAGACAGGTAGATTGCTTGAACTCAGGAGTTCAAGACCAGCCTGAGCAGAAGCAAGACCCCATCTCTACTAAAAATAGAAAAACTAGTTGGCATTGTGGTGGGCACCTGTAGTCCCAGCTACTCGGGAGGCTGAAGCAAGAGGATCACTGGAACCCAAGAGTTTGAGGTTGCTGTGACCTATGACGCCACAGTACTCTACCCAGGACAACAGAATAAGACTCTGTCTCAAAAAAAAGTTCAAAATCCAAAACCATGAGGACTCCTCCCTTTAGAATAGTATTAAGTCTTTAAAGACTTTCTGACCCCTAAGCAAAACTATTTCCATTTAAGATCTCTTACTAATTTTATCCTAATTCATACTCTGAGTTCAGATATTCCATATATGAATAGGAGAGAGGAACTAATTACTAAGACCTAGAAATATGTAAGATCTCCCTCCCACAAAGATTTCTAAAAGCAGGGGGTAAATGTAAACAAAAGTCCTTAATCTGGATTATAAAATCTAGAATAAAGAGAATGATAAATTAAAAATATAAATGTACTATTTTAGATCATCTTCTGAAAAATACATTCTTACAGTAAAGAATAATTTAACAGATTACTTTAGCTTGATAAAATTCTCTTAATCTTGCTGCTTGGTGGTACATGCCTATTGTCCCAGCTATTGGGGAGGCTGAGGTAGGAGGATCCCTTGAGCCTAAGACTTGGGGGCTACAGTGA